TTGCTCTTATACATCTTTTTTGTGCAATAAAAACTCGAGAGACTTCGGGACTATTACCCCAGAATACAACTCCATACCTCAATCTTGATTGAATGTAAGCATGGTAAGCAGTTAATGCAACCTCATAATTTACCTCACGTGCCAGCACCCTCAGGGCATAGCAGTGCCTTGATATTTGGCCAGCCAGGCAGTCAATATGGTCACTCCAGTCCAACCGTGAATCCACTTTGACCCCCAGGAAATTGGCCGATCTTGTAGTGTTCAAAGGTATACCATCACCGCAAACAAACTGAGTGGGAGACCAATCCCGTTGATATGAGAAACGTAGTAGCTGTGTCTTCTCGACATTCAAAACCAGGTTATTTGAGTCAAACCAACCCTGAAAGGAACTCAAAGTTGTGTGAATTTTGTTACTCAATTCCTCCATTCGTTCTGCCAAAAAGACTACTGAAGTGTCATCCGCAAACTGGACCGTAAACTGATCAGTTATATTTGCAAGCTCGTTAGTATAGATAATGTACAGCAGTGGTCCAAGGATTGATCCCTGAGGTACACCTTTTTTGACCTGGCTAGAAATTGATGTTAATGTTTCCCCATTGTGTCTTTCAATAATCTGCTGCTTTCTATCAAATAGATAAGATGATATTAGTTGTAAAGGAACGCCCCTCAATCCATACCTTTCTAGTTTTGCTAGCAGCACATCATGATTAACACTGTCAAAAGCTTTAGACAAATCCAAATACATCGCCACTGTCTCGTTTCTCCCATTAAGGGACTCCAAGATTTTAGTTAGTGCCTGATAAATAGCTCTGGTGGTACTTTTTTTCCTCCTAAATCCATTCTGATATGTTGAGAGCAACTGCTCACTCTCAAAAAACGAAATAACGCGATCATATATTATCCTCTCAAATATCTTGCTAAAGTTATTCAAGAGTGCAATTGGTCGAAAATTTTTTATTTCCTGAGCGTCTCCTTTCTTATAAATTGGAATAATTTGGGCTATTTTCAGTTTATCTGGAAATACTCCTGTGACAAGCATTAAATTAATTACATGAGACAGTGGTTCAGCAATTTCATCTGCCACTTTTTTGATTAAAATGACTGGGATTTGATCTTGCCCTACTGCTTTTTTATTTTTTAATTTGGATATGACATGCTTGATCTCATTAGCATTTGTAGGTTTTAAAAATAAATTTTTTGGGTAAAAAGGTATATTTTTTGAGATGCCATCTATATTTGTATTGAGGTCAGGACATAGGTTTATATAGAAATCATTTATTTCATTTAGTATAACATTCTTTTCTTTGTTTGGGTATTTCTTGGAATAGTTTTCAAGCAACGATTCTTTTCTTTTTTCCCCGTTTCCCTGTACCCAGTTAATCAATGTCCATATTGCTCTTCCTGGGTTTTTTGAAGTTTGTATAAAGTTTATATTTTCTCTTTTTTTAGATTCTCTTATAACTGATCTTAAGATATTTGAATATTTTTTAAAAAAATGTTTTGTGATACTACCCCTTATCATTTCTTTGTACAAATTTCGTTTGTTTTTTAAAGAAATTTTAATCCCACAAGTCATCCAGTACTTAGGTTTTTTTGGTTTGGCTTTAATGGTTTTCTCAGGAAATATCAGGTTGAGGTATTGAGCCAAAATACTGCTAAAAACATGGTATGCAGTATTTACCTGTTGTTGAGAATACACTTCAAACCAATCCACCCACTGCAATTCAAGCTTAAAGTGAGACAATCTACCATCTGAAAAAGAGCGCTTTTTGAAGGGCATGAAGTTGCACTCTGGGGCGACCGCATTCACGACCCTCAGAGTTTGAGCCTCGTGATCAGATAGAGCAGTTGCTACAACCTCTGCTTGAAATGGGTTTATAAAATTGATGAAAATATTATCTAAAAGTGATTTGGATGTATTTGTTATTCTTGTTGGCTCAAATACAGTTTGATTAAAATTAAAACTTGTTAAGAGGTCTTTAAATTTCTTTGACCTGAAGGACTGATCCAGCAAATCAATATTGAAGTCACCTGTGAGTATAGTTTTGTGACTTGAAAATTTCAACTGACAAATAGCAAGAATATCTGTAAGAATTTGAAAGAAGAGATCAATATCACCCTGCGGGGGCCTATAGATAGCAATAACCACTACTTCAGCGGACCCACTTACGATCGATGAGCATTCCAGGACTCCTTCTACACTTTTTGCCGTAATTTCGGTTTCTTCTGTTGCTTCATTATTGGAATGTACAAAAATCGCAGAACCTCCATGTGTCGTTGCTTTCCTTGCAAAAGCGGATGTTTGCTTATACCCATTTATGTTCATACACTGGACTTCCATCTCCGTAAACCAATGTTCGGTTACCGCAACAAAGGTGGGTTGTTGATTCATTTCCTCTAATACTGCTTCAAGTTCAAGGATTTTATTTTTTAGGCATTGCATATTTTGGTGAAAAATTACATGCTCTACCTTCTTGTTTTGGCTATCTAACCTCTCAGATTGTTTTTCGGTATCTGATGGCGTTGTAGACTCAGAAAATGGTTGATGCAGATACCAACTGGCCAAAGTTCCGGATCCATTATTTTGTTTTTATTGCATTGGGGCACACCCAGTTTAAAAGAACTCATTTGTCCGTCCTTTTTTGTGTGCATTTTTTCGCAATATAGATCGTTTCCCAGTTGTTGACTATTAAGGAAATCCTTGATATTATTTACTTCCATTGAAGTTGAAAACCCAGACAAAAATATCCAATACCTTTTTTCAGCTACCTGTAGACCATTTTGTTTTTCATTTGTTCCTCTTACTGGATCAGGACGATTATGTTGCAGCATTATATTTTTATGTTTTGTTTTGTAGCTAACAAGCTTCCAATTTTCTTCTGATTGCCCAGTTGAAGTTGGAGTAGTTTCAGCAGAATTTGATTTTTGTAGTTCGCCATTATGTTTTTGCTTATCATTCTCGATGGGTTTGATGGCTAAATCAACTGCTTTGTTTACTTGAGCAAGAGTTATTTGATTCCGCTTTTCATTTTTTTTGTTTTGGTTCCCAATCCCAGTGTTTACATTATTACGAGGATTGCCATTTTGACGTTTATTGTTTGTGGTTATGTTGGCTTTTCTTCGGTATTGTCAGGTTCTGCAGCATCATTTTTGGCATCTGCTACCATAATTGCAGTACCACTTGTGACGACGCATGGAACCGGTGCCTTGATATTTGATATTTCCTTGGTGTTGACGTCACTGATGATGACTTTGACATTTGATGATTTTGTTGAAGTTTGACTTTTGGGGCAAGTTCCTGCGGGGGCGGAGGCTGCGGAGATAAACCTAACCTCTTCTAGCATTTTCGGCTTAGCTAATTTTTCCTCAAATTTTTCCAGTTTTTCCTCAAGTAAATGAACTTTCTCCCTAAGAAGGTCGTTATTTTCTTGTAATTGGAAGACGATGTTGTTTAAAAGTCCACTATTTTTAAAACACAATTTAACAATATCGGCAGTTGTCAAGCCTGTCAGATCTTCTTCATTATGCAATTTGTGCAGTTTATTTCGTTGATACCCACAATTTTCACACCGGGATTTTTTATAATGCACTGACTATGATAAAAACCATCACACAGAACACATTTTACTTTTCCTTTAACTTTCTTTGAGCAGTAAAAACACTTTTTGTCAGAGCAATCTTGAACAACGTCCGTCTCGGACGCCATCTTCTTTTCGAAAAAAAAAAATAAAAAAATATAGAGTAATAAACTTTCCTCCACTTTCTCCTTTCATCCAAGCTTTATGTACCCATTTTTCGTTTCTTTATTTGATTTTCTTCTTCTTCCTCGTCTAGACCCGAGTCTAGACCTATGGCAATAATAGCTAATTCTTTGTTAGTAAAAAAAACCTGAATTCTGATATTCCACTGAAAGCAATACGGACTATAGACGGATGTGTGTGAATTGTCACCACTGATGAAGCACGGATAGCACTGATACTGAACTGACGCGGCACTGATACGGAACTGATGTGTGTGGATAGTCCTCAAAAACGATTTTTTCTAAAGCCCTGTATCTCAGAAACTACGCATTTCCGAACACATGTTTATGGGAACTTTTTTTCTTAAAATATTGTAAGGAATTACATCCTGAAGTTACGAATTGTTTTTTGGAAGCACCCTGTATATTTTTCTATTTTTTGACCACTCTGGCCTGTACAGGGTATTTGATTATATTTGGCACCATACCTTCAGCCTTTACTATTTAAGATAGAAAAAAAATTTAAATACAAAACTTGACAGTTTTTTCTATATTTTCTTTTGACAGTATCAGAAAAAATGAAATCTCATCGGAAAATGGAGAAACGTAGGCAGCTTCTACTTTTTTCAATAAAACACCCTGTATATTATGCGATAAAATTAAAGATCTTTTCTTCCTGATTCCAAATATATTTACTGATCATATTTGAGTGAGTCGTTTTTGATATATCTTAAATTTTAAATAAAATCCAAAGGAATTTTATGAAGATTTAAATGTCTTGACATCCTTATGAAATTTCTTTGCAAATTTAAGCTAAAATATTTCAAAAACGGCTCACTTGGCTCAATATTTGGAATCAGGAAGAAAAGATCTTTAATTTTATCGCATAATATACAGGGTGTTCCATTGAAAAAAGTAGAAGTTGCCTACGTTTCTCCATTTTCCGATGTGTTTGTTTTTTCTGATACTGTCAAAAGAAAATATAGAAAAAAACTGTCAAGTTTTGTATTTAAAATTTCTTTCTATCTTAAATAGTAAAGGCTGTAGGTATGGTGCCAAATATAATTAAATACCCTGTACATGCTAGTTCAAGTTTTAGTGGTTTAATATTATTTTTTCAAGAAGCGGAAACTTTTATAAAGAATACCTTTTTTTCGTAAAATTGATAATAAAAAAGTTTCCCATATGCTGCGAATTTAAGTGGACATACTGTAAATGCAGTCACTTTTAGTAGTTATCTGTTTGGATATAGCTAGCTTACCAGTATCACATTTTTCTCATGAGTTTTCAGCATCATGAGAAGTAATTCCCCTAGGGACATATCCACAAGCCTTTCCAGGGGTTCCCCGCAAAGAATATTTGGATTGTTTTCCATTCTAAACTACACCACAAATAAAATGTACCGTCTTGAAAAGCTTTAATGCTTTAACTGAATATTTGCGAAATTTTGTCGATTTACAGGTAATTAGTTAAAGTAGAAAGGTCAAAAATACTCAAAAACTCTACAATGTTATCTGCCTATCTTTTTTTTTTAGCTAAAGCACTTAGATTTTGCTTATATTTTGAAGTGCTCAGGCACTGGCTCAGGGTACCCTGTCCAGTATTGTTAAAATATTTCAATTGTTATCACAGTTCACGGTTACAACACCGACGTAATTTTTAGTTTCAATTAAAATATAAAAACTTTTATTGATTAGGATAGGATGAAAATTTTAAATTGAAATCATACCATATTTTGAACCAATCAAAAAACGAAATAATCTTAGGTTAGGATAGGTTTCTGTGTTTATAGCGATTTCCATTTGTAGAATCAGTGCAAAAAAATGTATCCAATATGCTCTTAGAAAAAGACGCGGATACACTTAGTGCGCACTGATTGACAAATGGAAATCGCCATTAGTTGTATCAAGGAATAAAAGGGTGGGTATTATAAAACTACTTTGAGAGTTAACTTAAAGTTAACTTCTGGAATTACATGTATACAAAAAGTTAACTGTCAAAGCAGTTTTATAATACCCGCCCTGAAGGAATACAGTAGAGCTAATGGCCATTTCCACCACCTATTTTAGGGGAGCCTTAACGATAAAAAGTATTTCCTAAAATTACATTTTTACATGAAGAAATTGGAGTTTAAGGAATACTTATCGTTAAAGGCCATTTGTTTGTACTGCTTTTCTTGCTTCAAGCAGATCTCAGCATCTGATCGGCGCGGCGTTCACTTGTCCCATGACTTTCAAATATAGTGGGTTCAGCTTGCTCACTCCGTGCACTCCGAATGACTCCATTTGCACTCCAGCCGTTCGGGTAAAGGTTCGGGTATTGCTTTTTACCGTATTAGGGGTAACTCCATTAGCTCTGTTCACTCCACTCCAACTCCGCGCTGAATAGCCGAATCCAGCTCATAAATAGCAGTAGTTCCTAGCAGATTTTGCTGATTTTTCGAGCCGGTAGCAAGTACAAATGAACAGCCTACTTTTTTACATAGCGAATTCCATTGGCTAAACTGGTGCAGCTCGTTCCGCCCTGAGTTTAATCAAACACGCACTTGTTCCTAGGAGAATTTGTTAATTTTGAATGGAAAATGTTTGAGAACAAGAGAATAATATAGTGTATGTATAGTGTGAGACAAGCCAAGAAGAATACTTAGGGCGGGTATTATAAAACTACTTTGAAAGTTAACTTCTAGAATTACATGTAATTCAAAAAGTTAACTTCAAGTTAACTGTCAAAGCAGTTTTATAATACCCACCCTTAACCTAATAGGACTGCTTATTGAGCTGAAAGTGTCTGCCATTTCGGCCACATACCTCAACTCTTGGCGTAAAATTCATTATCCGAGTTCAAAACACTATTGGTCAAAAAAACGAATCCGTATACGTAAAAATCTTGTTAAAATCACCTTTTCTACATTTAAAAGCCTGAATCGCAAGCATTCCATCGAGGTCTGCGGTGATGTCATCACTATCAGCTGGAGTGCGTTTAGAAATGGAGTGTGAAGGTAGAGTAGTTGTTTGTCAGAGTGTTCCGACGTCATCACTTGGAGTGCACTCTGGGTGCGCCTTTTCTGAACGTAATAGGGGTGTTGCGCTAAATGTCAACGTCAAACCCGGTAAAAACCTTGGGGCGTTTTTCAACCCAGTCCCTGAGTGGGGTAATTTGGGCGCACTCTGGCCACGTCAATTCTTGATTTCTGAACGATTCCACCGTAACGCTCTGAGTAAGCACCTGTTAAATGAACGGTTTAGAGTTCCTCTAGGGTCACTCTCACACCCAGAGTGCTATTTCGTAACGCAACCCTGGGGCCGAGTTCAGAAATAACGCACAGGGTGTGAGCAGTGGCGTATTTCCGGGGGGGGGGGCTCAGGGGGCCCGAGCCCCCCCAAAATAGTTATTTTCAATTTTTAGTTACTGAATAAGCACATTTACAAACCATAAACGACTTGGTTACCGTTTGAAAACCTAGAGGATTTAGGGTGGGTATTATAAAACTATTTAGGGCTGGTATTATAAAACTACTTAAAGTTAATTTAAAGTTAACTGGAATTACATGTAATTCAAAAAGTTAACTTCAAGTTAACTGTCAAAGCAGTTTTATAATACCCGCCCTAAGGGGAAGTTAACTTCTGGAATTACATGTAATTCAAAAAGTTAACTTTTAGGGTGGGTATTATAAAACTGCTTTGACAGTTAACTTGAAGTTAACTTTTTGAGTTACATGTAATTCAAAAAGTTAACTTCAAGTTAACTGTCAAAGCAGTTTTATAATACCCGCCCTAAGTCAACTGTCAAAGCAGTTTTATAATACTCGCCCTAAAACGGCCGGCTGGAAAGCGGCTCAGAATATACGTCTGATCCGTCCGTAGTAAGTACTAATCAAGGATAATACACACTACTAAGGATTGCTGATCGGCCTCGTTTTTGGCAATCGTATTGGTGTGTCACCATTTCCGTCGTCATAATAATCGTCAGCGGTTTGCACTAGTGGTCGCAGTTAGAATTTAAATTTAAAATTTATGAAGAAATATATCATTTGATTTTGATTAACATAATAGGCAAAGAGGAAGATGAAAACGAGATCTAAAAAAAAGAGTTGTTTTAAAATTTTAATTGTTGGAAAACCACGTTATGCATAAAGCAAAAGCCTGCGAAATCATAGCCTGTAGTGCAAAGAGCCTACGTCAAGGCGAGAAACGACATGCTGTCTACCTCACAACTGGTGATTTGGCACACTTCAGATTTGTTCCACACAGGGGCCTTATTCTGTAAGGAACGAACCGTTCGATTCGGTAAAATTTCTTCGATTGTGACGTCATTTTTCGTCAGGTAGCGCGAAAACCAAACCGAAAATGACGTCACAATCGAAGAAATTCTACCGAATCGAATGGTTCGTTCGTAACAGAATAAGGCCCCAGGCCTTATAAGAATAGGTTATCCTGTAGTAGTAGTGTGTATTATCCTTGAGTACTAATAGCCTCATCGAAATGTCACTTGTCATTATGTCATTTATGTCAATCACATGATTATCGTTCATCACAAAAATTCAAAAATCAGAAAAATAAATAAATAATCTAGAATTATTTAATTTCTATTCATTGTTTTTCCTTATTCAATTAGGAATATTACCATAATCATTTCATTTAATTGTAGTTTTATTGGTAAGTATTTATTTACCTTTAATTTTTTAATACTTCATTAATTATGTTTATTAAATGCTGAATGTTAAAGATCAAATTTCAATTTCCAAACCAGATTCAAACTCAAGCTCTCACTAATCAAGGTTGAAATTAAAAATATTATTGCGATTACAATAACAGTGAACCTTATTGTAATCAAATTTTGTTTTATTATAGGAGGTCAAATGATCACATTGGATAATACAATTAGGATAACGACTGATAAAAAGAGAACATTTTGGATATTTCAATCCATAAAATGTATGCATGAGTTTGAATAAGCGTGTAAAATTAAGCATTATGTTGGAAGACGTGTTGGCGGTATTGAAAAGAGTGGATGCAGTTTGTTTCGATGTGGATTCAACTGTAATTCGAGAAGAGGGAATAGACGAGCTTGCCAAGTTTTGTGGAAAAGGTACTGAAGTAGCTAATCTTACTAGTCAGGCTATGAGTGGGACCATGACTTTTCAAGATTCTTTACAATTGAGATTAAACATTATACAGCCTTCTCTTGCCCAAGTCAAAGATTTTATAAGAACTAGCCCACCGACACTTACACCAGGAATTAAAAATTTAGTAGATCTTTTACATAGCCGTAACATACCAGTTTATCTAATATCTGGTGGTTTTAGAGCTATAATAGCACCTATTGCTGATCAATTGAAAATTCCACAAGACCATATTTATGCAAACAGATTAAAGTTTTATTTTAATGGCGAATATGCTGGGTTCGATGCAAATCAGCCAACCTCTAAAAGTGGCGGAAAAGGAGTTGTCATCAACCATTTAAAGGAAAAATACGCATATAAGAATTTGATTTTAATTGGTGATGGTGCAACCGATTTGGAAGCTTCACCTCCTGCAGATGCCTTTATAGGATATGGAGGAAATATTATTAGGCCTGCAGTTAAAGCTAAAGCTAAGTGGTTTGTAACCGACTTTAATGAAATTACTGATGTTATTGTCAATAGGCATACTATTTAATGTATAAGGTGTTATTTTTGGAGGGTTAAAGTAGTTATTTTTATACTGTTTGTTATTGAATAAAATAAAATAAGATAAAATATTTCTTTTAGTGTATTGTATTGGTTTTTTCAAAACAACAAAAGTTAAAGTTCGGGTTGAAAAGTCTTCATTCTTTGATAGTGAGGCATTGGCAAATATGACTGTTTTATTTATGTAGAGCCATCCATTTTCTAATCCATTTCTTTTTCAAAAAAAGAACAACATTATGCAAAAATTCAAATGTTTTGCACTAAATAAGGCACGAAACTGCCTTTGTTCAATTTTTGTTACAATTTTCGGAAAATTTCCCTTTCGTTAGAGAAAACATTACTACTTTGCGCATTTAAACAGAACTTTGAAAGTTTCAAATGCTTGATTGAAAATAGACTTGCAAAAACGTGCCTTTATGACTTTTTACTTTTTCTGAAATTTTTTCTTTTTTTAGTAGTGGTTTTCTGGTTTTAAAAACGACTCATTTTCCTCTTGTAAGGCTTTTTCAAGAAACATTCTGATATGGACAGTTAAAAACATTCTGATATAGACATTAAAAAAGCTTTCACTGCTCACTATCCAGTACGAAACCGTAGAGGGGCCACATCCTACTTTTTTTTTGGTATTCACACTTTTTTTACGAAATTTCTTGAAAAAAGTGTAAATACCAAAAAAAAAGAGCACATAATTTTTCTAGGTTTTAATTTACTTTTTATCTGCGTTGTTCACAGCACATCATGAAACGATTTTAGTTAAAGACATGAACAATGCACATGTTATAAAATATCGAGTAAAATATAGTATAAACAAACAAAAAAATACATAAAAATGAAAAAATAAAAAAATAATACTTGTATAAATTGAACTCTCAAAAACAAAAAAGAGTTATTTATGATATAAGTGCTAAAACAAACACTCCGCCTTCGGCGTCATGTCCCGCTCAGTGCTAAAAGTAATCACTTTTAACACCAGTGTCATAAAATGGCATTTTAGACACACAGCATCTGTTAAAATTAACACTTTTAGTGACGTTTGTAGAAAAAAGTATTTTTTTCTACGACCGTGCGTAAAGTACTCACTTTACGCACTATTTAGAAGACGTAAAATCTCTCTTCACGCACTTGTGCCTGAAGTAGTTCACTTCACGCACTAGTGCATAAAGTAATGTCAATGACAGATGTCGACCTGTCAAATTACTATTTTTCTGGTAAATTACGTGAATTACTTCACGCACTAGTGAAAATGAAAATTTTATTGTTCTATACAACAAATTCGATCAACGAAATATAATATTACTAACGTGTATTCTACCTACATACTACATAACATATACATATAGAAACTTGTTTACTCTGTTATGATAGGTACAAACATATAACAACAATAGTTGTTATTCAAACGACAAATTTTGAAAACGACTTTTTAACGAGTTAACAGTTTAAACGAGTTTTTTACAATGCTTCTTCTACAATATCCCTAGTTTGGCCTGGTTTCTGGAAAATCTCCCCTCAATCCCTAATAAGTGTTAAAATCCCTGGTCCCTGGATCCAGGGATAAATTCCCTAAGTTGGCATCATTGTCTACAACTGCAAAATAAGGCAACTAAAATTGTATTCTGATGGGAAATTTCCCGAGTTTGAAACTTATTTACTACATTGTGTCGAATTCTTTTATTGATGCTGATTGCTATTGATCTTTTCCATATAAACTGCTTTTGTCAAAAATATACACTTTGACAGATTTCTGACATCAATGCGTTTTAAATGGAAAAACGGGCATCAATGTCAAAAATGACAATTCTGGAAATTTTCCCCGGGATATTTCCAAAAATTACAACTTATTAATTTTGACAATTTGTATGCAAAATTTCCAGTGTAATTTGCACAAGGGAAATTTCCTATCAAAATATAACACGTGCATAAAATATTTCCTAAGGGAAATTTTTTTAAATTTCGTCTTTAGCCAATTTTTTTAAACAAAACCATTCGTGCATAGCGCCGAAGAAAAAATCCCTCACCCTTCGGGTTCGGGAATGATTTTGTTAAAAAATTGGCTTCAGACAAAATTTTCAAAAATTTCCGGAAATATTTTATGCACTAGTTATATTTCTACTGGAAATGACTATGGTGTATTTTTTCCCAAGATGGATTTTGACATTGAAAACTTTGAAGCATAAACAATACCGCTTGGCCCTGATTGATCGCAAAATTAGGTGTCTCTGCAGGTTGACATCAGTTTGACAATGCATTTTGTGCGAATGGCATCTTGTGACCAATAAGCGGCATTGTTTATGTTTTAAAGTTGACAATGTCAAAATCTATATTGGGAAAAAATAGAGTTTAATAATTTCACATAGATAAAAAAACGTAAACAATTTGACAAAAATTGACAACTTCACTTTTGTGTCTGTTTGTGTCAAGTCAATATAGAAAATATATACAGGGTGTCCAGAAAATAGCGTAAAAGCTCTACACTACGTAGTAGAGGACCCTTAAGGAACCCCAGAAAAATAATTTAAAAAATCTAGTGGCATTCTTAAGAAAGTTATTAACATTTTAATGTTTATTAAAATTGGCAACACTGAAAATATCCTGTTGACAATTTGCCACAGAATTAAATTAAATACCTACCTATGTAATTACCTGGAAAATGTATAGTGCGAAAATAGAACAGCATGCGTTTTTTTTTTCGCACGCTATGTGAAAAACTCAATTTTCAGCGGTAGCCCAGCGTGCGAAAAACTCCATTTTCAGAAGCCGTGGAAGGTGTTTTTACTAGCGTGCGGATAAGCCCACTTTCCGCACGCATTTCTATTTTGAAAGTGTCACTTTTCCGTATTACTTTTCCGCACTGGTGCGGAAAGGGAAAATATCTAAAATTGTATTTGAAATTAGTAGAGGTACAAGTATCAATTTTCATCTAGTACAAGAAATATCGTTTCATACTCGTGCGGAAAGTGTCTTTACCTCACTTGATTGCTTGGCAGAACTCCGCATCGTTCGGCCAACTGTAATTGCGTGCAGAAAAGTGACACTTTCCGCACGCGAGAACTCATATCAGAAATATGTTTTAGGTCACGTTCTTGAAATTTCCTGAGTCCTTATTCTTGAAACAGGGTAGCAGCGTTCCCGGGAGAACGAATATTCCGTCTTTGTTCCTTATATTATCATTTCCATATCATTGGGAAAGACGGAACACTCGTTCTCCTGGGAACTCTGCTCCCCTGTTTCAAGAATAAGGACACTCTGGTAGGTAATGCTTTTCTCTCAAAAAGAAAAATAAAAAAATCCTATGTCGGCGGTACTCCATCGGCTCCTATCTTGGTAAGGGTACTACCGCGGATATTCGGTGGTACCTACGTAACTCAGATTTAATTCTTCGATTTACGTCTCTTTATATTTCTTAAAAAGTGAGTGGTTTATGAGTAAAATGAAAATTGAGCAAAAAATTGTTTTTTGACAGTACTTCTTTGGCTCCTATGAGGGTAGTACCTAGGAAATCCAAAAATTACTTTTTCTAAAGGATTTTTTGTGCTCTTCAATTTATCTCTCCTCGTATTTTCTCGAAAAATGAGTAGTTTTTGAGTAAAACGTAAATTAAGCAAAAAATGTCAAAAATCCAAGATGGCGGCGCCCTTTTGACAATGTTCCCTTAAAAGGAGGTCAGGGCCAGTATTCTCGTTCCCGTAAACGCTCACCGCTTCTAGGTCGCTCGGCACTTTTAATGTAAATTTACATTAGATTTGCCGAACGACTAAAAACCGGTGAGCGTCAGTGGCGACGCGTGACCAGTAGTCTGGGGGGGGGGGGGGGGGGGTAAATGGTACAGGGAGCTGAGGGGGCGCCCTCTAAAAACGCGCCGCAGACGAAATTTTTTGCAAATTTCAAGGTCATTCACTTTTCCAGAACAATTATTTCATTTGTGAGAAAAATAAAACAAAAGAAAAATGTATTTTCTTCAATATATTATGTATTTTCTTTTTGACATCGTGATTTTTCTTTTGATAATTCAATCCTGGGGGGGGGGGGTAATTACCCCCAGTACCCCCCCCCCGACGCGACGCCCCTGGTGAGCGTTTTCAAGAACGAGAATACCGGCCCTGGGGACTATTAGTATGTTTATCAGGTTATCAGGACCATAAATCCTATCGATTGAGACTAGTCGCAACTTTATGTTATTTTGTTCCCAATTCACCATTTAAGAATTTTTAACATTATAACAGTAAACATACAGTTTTTTTTTTTTTAACAAAATGTAGCAGCCATTTTGGTTTATTTATTTTCACATTGGGAATGCTTTGCGCAAAAACAAATTTGTACCTACATGCTTTGCTACAAGACAGGAACGTTTCTTTGGTAATGAAAAGATTCAGAAGAATATAGAAACCTAAATTTGGCTGTCATTTGGATAATTTCTTGATAGGCCATCAGTGATGAATTAGCGATGATAAGTGATAACATTCCTAGTATTTTTTCGATCTGAACAAACTGGTTGTGTGTGATCACAAGAGGTTTGTTCATGAGGCGTCAAAAAAACAGCTGGGGCCAATTAGCCATTCCAGGTCACGTGACTTTGACAGGTCCGCCATATTTGCTGAGGGGCAGACAAAGCGACAAAGCCTATAGATCATTATATGGATCATTATTGTTTATACTGTTTTTTGAGTTTGTGCTTCGAAATTTTTGGGTTTTTTAATTTGTTCAATAAATTCTAAGTTGTTTTTAGTTTTTGTGAATGAATGCAATCTAAATTGTTTAAAAAATAAAAAAGTTTGATACTAACAACCTTACAAGTTAATTTTACCAAATAAATTTGTGATAGAATGACTCCTCAAACGTACGTTTTGACTGTTCTTCTGATTGGTGCACAGATCTGGCATGGCATATGTAGCTTTCTGGCTTGTTCATTCTGGGCTTTTGCTTTTATCAATTATCGTAGTACATTCTAAATTTGTACTGGGGACCAATCCGGATTGTACGAATACGAAGGCGTAGAAGGGACACCCAACTTTTTTTTCTCAATTTTTAAAATTTCGACTTATAACTCGAAATTTTATAGTAAAATTTCGTGAT